TATTTTTAATGAAATAGTATAAAAAATAATTTTATTAAATATATTTTAATAAATTTATAAGATAGATTATACTTTTATTATATAATTTATCATAAAAAATATTTTTTTGCTTTAATTATTACTATAAAAAATTACTTAAAAATAAATATTTTTTTATAAAAAAAGAAAAGGAAAGAAAGAAAAAAGAGACCATTTGCTTTTTGCGTCTACCATTTGCTTTTTGCGTCTACCATTTGAATGCCTATGGATTGTAAGTTTATGTAAAAATATTATAGTTGCTATGACTGCAGACAATTAAAAATAAAGAAATGGAATCATATGAATATCGTTTCTCTAAAAAGCAAAAAAGGCAAAGACCAGCCTACAGAGATTATTGAAACAAAATTAAACTTAACAACTCAAAGGTCCATTAAACTTTCTATTGGCAGGACTAAATTTAGTTTACATCTGAAACATGACCCAAAAAAAGAAAAAAAAAAAGAACTGCAGAATTGTATAAAAAAATTAAAAAAATGGTAGTTTTCTCTGCACAACCTTAAGTAATATTTATTTATTTACTCGTTCATTGTAGATAAAGAGTTATCTACCTCAATATATTGAAAATTATGCCAAAACCTCCTAGAAGATTAATAAGCCATCTAATTAAATGTAAAAGTAATATAATAAATGATAGGCATTAAGCAATCTATTAAGAACTCAAATCACAAAAAAGACACTAACGTAGCAACCATCACATAATCTCTTAATTGCTAAAAATGGTACTTCCAACTCTTGACATAGCTCTTGATTATTTGTTTCAATCTTCATTTTTCCTGCACCAAGCAGCAAAGTAAGAACTACAATGCAACCCACTAACCATACATAGAAAACAATATTTCTTCATGCTTGTTTCTTGATTTTTTTTCATAGAAAACTATGTGCATTATCTATGTAAATGTTGTCATCTTAACTGCATTTAATGGAGTATGAATTGAAAAGCCTGACTCAGCTACTAATTGGAAAGTCATATAATGAATAATAAACGACAAGAAAAATTGGAGGATATGAACATTGAAATGCCATTAATTATGAATAATGTTATAAGAGTAGATTATCTTACATGATTATTCTATCCATGTCTGTGAATCATGCTTGTTCAATTTTTGAGTAATTCTAATGCCCCATTTTAGTTTTGAGCATCAGCACTCTAATCCAGACCGCGAGATATATTGAGTTATGGGATAAGATTCTGCACTTATACAAAAGTGGCCTTTCAGTTGGAACTGACTGGTAATATGGATTTAGAATTAAATGCAATAATTAAATCAGCTTAAGACTGAATTAATAAATTTAGCCCAATCCTAATATTGAACCACAATGCAGCCCACTAACTATACATACATACAACATCCAAAATAGCTTACTGTTGCAACTAAACTCCTATTGTCATTTCTTTGATTCCAAAATTTGTACTATTGCTACCAATTCAATAAAATCTTGTTCAATTTTAATTATGCTAACCTCTGCAATCTCTATATGTCCTTAAGAATGCTCAATTCAGAGCTTTAGAACCTTCATCTTCCTGTGACTCTTTAATAATAAGTTAAATGCTATTATCCACCTAGCTAAGAAAATGTCACTCTAAATGAATGAAACAAAGGAAACAGCAACTAAAATCTTTATGCACTATCTTCATAATTTAAAACTTCAACTAAAAGGAAAAAAATATTATAAATATCCGCGCCAATACGTGTTTATTTTTACTTTCCAAAATTAAGCAAATTGATTAAAGAATTAAGATGCATTTTCCATGGAGATTTCACTTCATTTTTTCATCAATCAAACAGAACCAAATGAAAAAAAAAAAAAAAAACTCCAACCCTAAAACCGCAAGCAAACTCAAAGTAGACAAAAATGATTAAAACAAAAGCTCACATGAAAAAAATCAAGTTGGCCTTCAAGATTTCAGAAAGCGATCCTGATCTCCTAAATTGTAGAGTCATTGTTGTCGATCCTGAAGTCCTTAATGAACACAAAACTGGCGCGATTTTCTACATTTACGGCAACGGCGACCCAATGTTGTGCTCCTATCATGAAAAAGGAAAATGTAGACTGTAAAAAAGGAAGAAAACTAACATGAACGGAAGAATTTCAATTTTCAAATGAGATAATTAGGATTGGGGTGGGGAAAATATGCATACCTCGGTGGTGTTGAGATCGGAGAAGGAAAAGGAGGAGATGGTGGAGGATGAAGGTGGTCGGAGGAAATCATTGACTGGATCTTCATATTGTTGTTGGTGGAGGAGGATTGCACGTAGAAACTAACCAAAGAAGCTAAGAGTGCGAAAGTGCATGACCGAAGCACCAACGTTGAGTTGGCTGCAACTACGGAGTTTGTAGCAGTCAGCAACTTCTTGAAAGCCTAAAGGCATGGCGAGGGGTGCAATGGGCCAGTTAGGACAGATGGGCCCCTATTAAGTAGTTTGTAGATATGAGCTGGATTTCGGATCACTTTGGCTGGGCCTTAAATATTCTAAGTTTGTAGATTTCTTTCTGGGAATTTAGGAATAAAGGTGCAAAAAAG